TTTGACATGATGGCTAGATGAGCTTGCTCCAGCTTCACAAGAGTTCACAGGTTTCGCCAGAGTGAGACTTGTAAACCGGAACTAGGGAAGCAATGATAGTACAAAATGCCCCCCCCCCCGTCGTCAACTGCGCCTGATCGCTTACTCGCAAACGGCTGAACTTGTTTGTTTTCGGGTTGTTCTCCATGGAAACGCTTCCACGTCTGGGCAATTGGAGCTGCCACATATTTGAGGTCTTGGATGGTGTGAGAAAACCATAACATCGCATTCAAAGTAGCGTTCTATCAATTCGAGAACCAGATTCGGTATCAAGCTTTTGGAGCAAGTCCCGCAATTTATGTACTGTCATGAAGGTCTACGTAGCCCTAGGATTCTTCCTTTCTGGGTGGAATGGCGTGAAAACGGTCAATTCAGAGTGATTCCAGACCAAAAGTGTATAGTTTGCAGCGACAAATCGTTTCTTCATTTCTTGAATGTGTTATTTTGGCGACCAACCCAGTAAGTAACCTTTGCTTCTGACGGGACGGGCGAGGGTGCCATCCGCTACGCACTCCCACGATAAGCGGGAGGTGCAGGTTCGAGTCCCGTCTGAGGTCTGATGTTTTGCCCACAATTCAACACATTTGTGTTATTTTCTGGAGTGCAATCCATGGCGTTCAGCAATATCGCAATGAATAAAATTGAACCCCATTAGCTTCAAAAGGACCTTATCCGGTCACCTTCAACGTTGGTGCTCTCTATCTTTTTAGCTAGGTGATTAGAAGACTTGCGAAACAAATCGTTGTTTTTGTGTAAACGGATAGTGATTGCTGCCATAACTAGCGCTAATATCTCTCTAAAAAGTATGTCACACGCACTTGCAAAACAACTGGCGTCGGGGGAATCGAACCCCCGTCGAATGCTTGGAAGGCATCCATGCTAACCATTACACCACGAACGCTTATCCTTTCTGTCGTGGATACGCGATGTTGGAATGAGAGACGGATCGGCGCACTGTCATTGTCGCGTCTTAAGAAGATTCCTCTGCGCTTGCAAAAGAGAGGCGTTCGAGGGGAACAGCAGCTCTAATGTCGCATCTCAAGAAGATTCTACGCGTATTTGCAAAACAGATGCGTTCGGGGGGAATCGAACCCCCGTCGAATGCTTGGAAGGCATCCATGCTAACCATTACACCACGAACGCTTGTGGACTGTTCGCAGCAACATCGAATGCAAGATGCTGGTGCGACAACACGACCACCGGAAAACGCACAAGAACCAGTCTGGATCTGCTGATTGCGGTCGCGGGCGCATGCTGTCATGAATTATCAGTTTTCTGGGGCCCATTGCGTGACACCGTTCCGATCATTGCGCTCGAACAAATCAAACCCCCAAAGAAACCACTGAAAGCATCCCCGGCAACCCCGAACTTTTACCACGAAATGACTTGAGTTATGATGGAGTAAGGTAGTGCAAGATGGGTTACAGCTTCGCGATTCGTCTTCCGCGCTCTCTGATCACGCAGCTACTACAATGGAAAAAAAACTGGGCGACTTTTCCCTCATCTTGGATCCTTTTTTACAGGTTCCATGGTTTCCGATACCCTAAGGGTACTGGATCGTATTTGTGATGTTTGTTCAAAGCCAGTCACTGATAAGGATGTATGCAGAACGTTAATAGTGAAAGCCTTAAAAACTACTGGAGAAGTGAATATGATTATTGAACGGCCAGTTGAACCGGAGGCTATTAATGCGATGGAGGTCAGACTTCATGATAAGTTCTAAAAATGGTAATTGAAGAGGGTTTCCGTGATAATCGGATGGGCGGAGACTGTCTTCCCCGGGTTGACCCGTCGACACGGTGAAGCGGGGTGCACCAATGAGGGAGATGCATTGGTTGGAAATTTCCGCCTACTTCTCCACCCAACCGAATATCGGAGAATATGTTTTGGAGTTCGTAACCCACAATCCGCTTTTAGGGCTAGATCGAGAAAGGCAAAGGGACTGGTTGGGGGCAGAGCGTTGACTGCAGAGCCATTTCGGTGGAAGCGAGCCAAACGCCTTCTCGCAGCCGCTTCACCGAGAGATGTTAGCAGTTACCGCCTCTCCAGCCTAACGGGTGTCCACTGTCTCTCTAGCCGTTTTCTCAGGCCAAGCGTAGCTCAGGCGCGCATTGGAACTGAACCTGCACCCCATATCCCCGGGATTTGAAGGGATGTGGCTGCGTACTGCATTCAAAAATGGGATAGGATGCTTTCCTCGTGGGGTACTTAACATTTAAAGGCAACTACCACTCGCTTGTGCGAAAAAGAATGACTTGCAGTTAATCGCCAGTACGGCCAGACATCCCAAAAAACCGCAGCGATATTACGTTCGAATGAAGTATCGCAGCCCCCCCCCCCATCTCCGGGATTTGCAGTGTCTTTGGAAAACCACTGGGTTTAAAAGCTAGAATTCCAGGGAGTTTTTCCTAATTTTCAGAACGCTCTGAATGCATCTAGACTACAAGAGCCATCAGTGGCAATGGCACCTGATGTGAAAGATATCCTAAAACGGTACACGGATAAACTGGCACAGGGACATGGACAGATGCCTGCTGTAGGTGTTCCTTTTCGAGAGACGGAAAAGAGTATCCTAATTTGCCGCGCCGCCGCGTACGACGCACCGTCTGGCGATGAGCGCGGGAAATTCAAAGTGTGCGTCAGTTTCTCGATTGGAGCAGTGAAACTTGTGAAAATTGTTGCATTTTTTTAATATTCCTGAACTCCCGCACATTTTTCACTTGTTTTTGGCCATTTCCTGTATTTTCCTGTCATTGTAGGTTATGCACGAAATATAAAGCATGAGGAACCTCAGAACCGATAACAGGTGGCTCGCTTCGATAACATTCTTTCACGTCCCTATAATATTCAAACTTGAATGGCTGGGCGGGAAAACGCGTCTCTTCGGACGGCGTCGCTGGCTAAGCCGCCCACGCGGCAAATTACGATTCTCTTGTACCCTTCCTTTTCACCTTAAGGAGTTTGATTAAATTTTGATAGGATAATATTTCTACTATCGTTTCTCTTTTACAGCGAAAAGCCTTATCTGATTCCAAAAAAGAGCACAGACAGGACGCTCAACGTGTAAATATTGACGCTGGTGGCGGTAAATCACATATTTCCTTGATTATCGGAAGCGATATGACGAAAAGTCAACAGGATCAGTTACTCGTAAGTGTAATGAAGTATGTAAGGCAGTGGTAGTCATCCACCTGGACAGAACGATTTTCCTGCAAATGTCGCGAGCGGTCGCGTCGCAGCTTCCAAATTGGTTGACAACTGCGCCGCTAACCTTGCACCATTTTCAATCACAGCTATCAAGACATCACGTTTGCTGACCTCTGCTGGAGGACTCGGTCCTATTTGCCATTTACTGCCCTACTCCTTGAAATTCGAATCACATATCGATTGATGGTTTTCCCTAGCTTCGATGGAACTTTTGTTCCCGAGGGTCTCCTGACCTCTTGAGCAAGAACTGCATCCACTAAAAGTGAAAGCGATTTGCGCCCGCACTAAATGTGCCGGAATGACAGGCCAGTTTTGGCTCTGGCGCCAGTAGCGCGCGTAAAAGCCGTTAGCGA